CAGTCAAAGGGTCGCTCAAACATGTCGCACCCGCGCTTGAGTATCGGTCACATGACCAAAAGCCAGGTACTTCATGTTTTTCCCTTGTCACGCTATGCATTCGGTACTATCCGTCATGACATCCACTTTCATGTCACGCATGTTACTCGATTTCTGCGCTAGAACACAAAAGTCAGGTTCTTTGTGGTTTTTCAGTGTCGCGCTGTCCATTTCATGACATTTCATCCACTGTTACATTTCGCTACTTCGTTATTACTTTAATTCCAATAATTTTGGATGAATTTTGGTTTTGCACCTTTGAAGGGTAAAAGATTAATCTTTTTATTGCATCCACTTTGAAATCAGTGGCGATCCGTGCAATCTGATTGGCTTTAAGCAGTGAGATTTATTCCTAAATCACACCTTTTTTTTGCTCTAAATCGCATCTGTTCCAAATGTCGTCATTCATGTTTCAAATCGCATCATTTCTCTTTTAAATCGCACCATTTTTGTTGTATATCGCATCATTTCTGTTTCGAGTACAAAATGAGGTGTAGAAGCCTTTTTGTTTCGGCTTTTTAACAAACCGGCTACTTGATCAATAAAATAGAGCGGTTTTCATTTGAGTGTCGAAAAGTAATTGGTTTTGCACTTTCTACACGATGCGATTGGCTTAAAAGATTCGCGCCACCTTTTCATCCAATCAGAAGTAAAACCAAAGCCAATTGTGACGCGCTCGCATTCATTTTCCCGCGCTTTGCGTCAGCCACATGTAATTACTTCGAGTTTTGATTGGTTCAATGTATTGTCTGTGTCCTATGTGATTGGCCAGAGTAATTACTTTGGTTTTGGTTTTACGACACTCAAACGAAAACCACTCTATTAGTGCTGACTGAATTCTGCGATTCAAAATGGCTGTTATAAAGTGTTAATTGAACTACGTGTGGTGCAGTTTTGGTCTGAAATCATACTTGTGATTTCGAATCGAACTCGCCCTGCGCGATCGTTTGATTTTGAAATCGCGCGTATGATTTCAGACCAAATTCAGGGGCACCCAACGTTAATTTTTGGAAAATATTTGTTCGGAAGACGATTTGAGATCTAGAATTTTCGAAACATTTGTTGTAAATTTCTTGCTTGCCTGCCTCTCCTATGATTTTCTAACATCTGAAAAATGGTATAATTGCCCATTTTTAACGGATTTTTACCCTAGAAAGGTCACCTAGAATTGTCGGAAGCCTTTTTTCTGACTGAAATTTTCGAAAAGGTAAGTTTTGATCTCTATAATTTTCGGATCACTAGACTTTCAGCTATGAAATCCGGACACATGAAAAAAATTTGGGGGATAAAAATGTGCTTATATCTACCGTTTAAATAGTAAAATACGTTCGACAACGCCATGTTTAAGTGGTTTTGAACTATATTCTCGTTGGGTGCCCCTGCAAATTGCTCTCCACTCAGTTCAATCACCATTATTTAACCCTTCCGTGTGTACCTTGCTGGCTTCTAGTTTAGACTGCTAACACTGCAGTTTTTCAATCAGCTCGTCTCGCGCGACAATACTGAGGAAAAGCGAGCGGAGAGGATTTGCTTGCTGGTACAACAGTCCTAATAGACCTGAATAGACTTTTCCAGCCTCGCAGTTTTCTCGATGCAAGTCAACTCGCGCAAATCGTTAGGGATTAAGATTGCGCTTCCCCGCTCTCTCCCTTTAACGCTCCTCAAACACAAGTTTGAACATTCCTCCAAAAAATCGTAACATTTGAGGATTTTGAAGGTTCTTTTTTCAGTTTCGCAGGCCTTTTACGTGTAATGGAGCTATCTAAACTTGTGTGGCATTGCGTGACATGTTACTTTCATCACGCAGATTTTAGCGATTTGAGGATTGTAAACAGTCCGTTTCAATTCTATAGCCAGTTTACGTGTGATAGAGTTACATAAGCTTGTGTGACATTGCGTTACTTTTGTCACGCAGATTTCATTGAGCAACATGTTACCCCTAGTAGCAGTATTGATGGAATCAGTTTGGATGAAGGTGTGGAATCCAAAGGCTCCACTGACGAAACCGCCATTCTTGGAGTGTCACCATCAGTGTATGTGAAGATTTTTTGTTCTGTATTTTAACAAATGGATTACCGTAAAATTCCGAGAATAAGCTCCTCCAAATATAAGCCCCACAAACCAGTAACGCAAAAAACCCTCCGTTAAATCGCCCCTCCAAATATAAGCCCCCCGGGGACTTGTAATTGGAAAATTGCCCTCAAATACAAGGTAAAACAAAGCAAAAACGGTAAATTTACCTCCAGCTATAAGGCTAGTTCAAGCGAGTTTTAGACGCAAATTTCCCTCCGTAGATAAGCCCCTCAAAAAGGGCCTTTGAAAAAATATAAGCCCCGGAGCTTATTTTCGGGATTTTACGGTATTTGGGGAATAACTCGGGCGTTTCCGGACCATCCGAAATCAGAATTTTGAATCTGTGGTTGAGGTCCTAAAGTTATATCTTTCAAATAAAAGCTTGTTAGCAGTACTTGGTCAAGGTGATTCACGGAACTTGTTGTTTTCTTCTTGAAAATTACTTAAATGGTAAGCAATAGGAATTCTCCCACAGACTGAAATTCCACTCATTACAATCAAAGATTACTACTGATTATTATTCTCCTAACGTTTTTCTCTGAATTCAGCAGCAGTGATGGCCAGACAGACTCAGCGTTTGGAGAGTCCATCATCAGCACGTCACCTTACTCCACCCCGGTAGCAGGACTCCTGTCGAACCGGTTTAACCAGGGTTCGACCACTCTAGAGCACCATGGCGAGGAAGCTGACGACGAATTGCGCCAGCGATCAAGAACCGATCGTTTCCGAGAAAATGCAGAAGTGCATGCGCAAGAGGCACGTGAAGATGAAGAAGCGGGATATGCGAGGCTAGAGGACATTTGCTCTGGGCAGTCCGGTCAGGCCAGCACACAAAGCAGGTAAATAGTCACCCATCCCACCCTGCTGCCAAACGTTGTGCGACAAATTTTGTCGGTTAATTTCTTGTCTCACGCCCAAACTTTCCTTCTCTCACATTCGCCCGTTTTGCAGCGTAGCTCGATTAGGCCATTTCCGAGTTCGTTAATCACTCACTTTCAAAACCAGGCTAAGTGCAAAACCTTTCTTGTGAAAATGAGTTTTATTTGCATTAGAATAAAAAATCAGTGTCATATCAATAGCTTCGCACTTAGCCTCGCTTTGAAACAGAGGCTTGGGGCAAACTGGAGATATCCCGATCAAATGATCATACATGGTGTTTACATTCTTAGCTCTGCAAGTGGTACAAGAAGTGAGACGCAGACCACCCTAGTGAGTACACGCCCAGTAGATACTCTCAGAATAGAGGAGAATGGGCAGCAGATAGTAGTTAAGGATTCATCGGCGGATGTGGAAGCTATTCAGGATATTCTATCGGAAATGGCTGATATGAGGTATCCTGTTTATCCTAGCTTACGTAGCATCAAATGATACTGAAATAGAATATGTGTACCCTGCGAGCAGAGGTTTGTCTTTTTGCATGGCTTTTAGCGTTTACGAAGTCATAAACCAACTACGCGAAAAAAGGCCTCGCGAATGACTTCGTAAACGCTAAAAGCCATGCAAGAAAGCAACCTCTGCTCGCAGGGTATAATAATAATAATAATATTATTACTATTATTATTATTATTATTATTATTATTATTAATTTTTTTTTTTTAAATTTCCTGCGGTACTGTTTATCACAAAAAAGGCTAACACATTAAGATGCGTTAAGATGCATTAAGCGTAATAATAATAATAATAATAATAACTTTATTTTAGTGTCAATATATTTAGCTTGACAGTTAGATAATAGGGGACACTTTCCTAAGTACTTCCCTAAGTGTGATACGTGTGGAGAGAAGAACTCACTAAAATTGTTGTGAGTTCCAGCCAGGAGTTGAACCCATTGGGCCATATTGCCGTTTTAATTGGCGTTTAAGACCAATTCTTTGTTTAAGTCACCACTTAGTACCTTAACCAATACACAAAATGTTCCTGTGTAGAGTTGTGAAGTGAGACTAGGTATCAAGCAAATGTCGTCAGAGATTACTAACGACCAGAATCACGATTATAATTTCTTTGGGAATTTTTGCAGGGATAGCATCAAAACTTGAAAAAGTTGGCACAACTTTTTCAGGTTTCAGTCCAATCCACGTCCAACAACAACATCAACTTAAGCTTTATTTGCATGACCATAATTTAAGTTACAGTATAGCAAAAGCTTTAAGATAAATTTACAATTAATACTAATAATTAGAGAGATGAAGATTCGCGTTTACCGCAAACGGCAAACGTCAGACTCAAAAGTTGAGAATTTCTTAGAATAGAATATAAGTAGATAAAAACAGTCCCGAACGATTGCTATGGTTAAAACTGGATAATACTACTTATTTTGGTGTAGAAGCGATAAAGAGTAAACGGAAAATAAGGGGAAAACTTGGTCACGTGGTACAAATTCACGTCTGCTGTTTAGCTAGCCTGCGTGGGAGGCGTTCGAAAGGGAAGGGGAAGGGAATTAGGGCGCGAGACCGCCCGCGAGGGAGGAGGGAGGATTGGCGTAAACGTGAATTTTAGTCTCTCTATTAATAGGGATAATAAGCCAATTAAAAAAAGAACAAGAAAACGATTACAATAGTCAATCAAGTGTCATCAGTATGATTTGATAACAAATTATTACGTAAATCGTTACATAATGAGATAAACAATCCAATCCACAATCCTTGCAATCCGTTGCAACAGACGACAGGAAACGGTTTCAACGCTTAAGTATCGTCCCAGATAACAAAACTGGACCTTTAGTTTTGGAATTTAGTTGATACGAGAAACAGTTTTAGCGTTTTGACATAGTCTCCTCAAAAGAGGGCTTTCTTTTAGTTAACAAAACACACGATTTCTTTGTAGCATTACCTAAAGAGTTAAAGGCACTAATGATTTCATGTTGATAAATTTTGTTCTTATCTTTGTAGCGTCATCGCTCCTGAATCTGCCCATCTAAGCCGCTCCAGTACCCCACATAGTATATCCAGCGGAGGACTGGAGAGCAGGAGTCCTGTGCTGTCTTCAGGATCTGGTGTCTTTGAAAATGAGACACAAAGAAAGAAATCCCAGCCTCATTCGGACAAAGGATATGGCTCAACAACAAGCGTATCTTCTGGTTCCTCAGGAGACAGTAAGTGATATCTTATGGTATCATTGAATCTCGTGAAACCTGTATTCTGTTATTTCCTTTGGGTTAACGGGGTCTCAAATCATGCTGGGTAGGCTTTGCACTGACTCTAGACGTCATCTGTAAATTTTAAATTTGAAACATGATCGCATTTGCCATTCCTTCCACGTTAAAATATTTATTTTTGTTTTTTTTTCAGATGTTTTCCTATCTGAAAGTCCAAAAGTCCCTGGATTGAAGTTCGATCGTGACACTTCATCGTTTTGGTACAAACCCAATATCACAAGAAATGATGGTAGGTTCTCACCATGTTGGCATTTTGTTTAACTCTTTAATATCAACATGCATATTCTCCACACTGACTCTCTATAGTTCCTATGGTATTGATCAGGAGAATTTGTTTAACAATCAAGACATTTTTTACCTGTTGATGATTTCGTGACCTTCGTATTTGATTGATCACTGCCCACCTACCCCTCCCCTAAGCCAACATTTTGCCCCAAGTGAGAAGTAAGTGTTAAGGTTGGCTTAGGGGGGGGGTAGGTGTGGGCAATTTTACCAGAAACGTATTATGATCGGAAGTTAGGTTCTGATCACATTCATAAAAAGAAAGCGACATTCTTTCTTCTTCCGGTTAGGGTTTCTCCTTAAGGATCGCTTTTTTCAGATGTGAAGATGGGATGCGAAGAAGTTTCACTTTTAAAAAGAGTTTAGATCACCTAAATACATTTCAGAAGAAATCGCCGTTGAACCGCGTCTAAGAAACATGAGTGCAGGTTGTGTTATGTCGTTGCAACGGAAAATGTACCTATAACCTCGTTGTCATTCATTTGTCCTCAGCTATCTCCATTCTAAGAGACTCGGAACCAGGCTCTTTCGTCATCCGGGACAGTCAGTCCTTCCCAGGAGCCTTTGGTTTAGCTGTGAAAGTCGCGGTGCCCCCCGCCCACGTACTGCAGGGGCTTCAAGGAGATATGAGTAAGTTGAAAATACATGCCAACCTCGGTCCTAGGGGTTTTCCTGGGAACAAGGTTGAAACACATCCGTTACGTAAAGGCTGGGTTTCACTAGCTACGGAGTCGGAGTCGTAATCAGAAGCGTAGAACTTTACGATCAAGTGAAAACTAAGTTGTCGGAGTCCCAAGCAGAAGCGGAAGCCCAATCACAAAGCGTCGGAACGTGCATTGTGATTGGTTTATTCTTCCGCTTCTTCTTCCGAATCCGACAATCTGGTTTTCACTAGATCATAACAGAACAATGCGAAGGAGTCAGAAGCGGAGTCGGATGAAAATGGAAACGTTCTGATTCATCCGACTCCGATTCTGTCGCGCTTATGACTCTGCTTACGACTCCGATGTTTGATTTTCACCAAGTCATATTAAAGCGCTCTTACGACTCAGGTTATGACTTCGACTCCGACTCCGTCGCTAGTGAAAACCAACCTTCAAGTTCTCCTAGAGGGAATTTACGACTCGAAAAGCCACTAGCCCTCCCACTCCTAAGACCTTCCTTCGGGGTAAGGGAGAGGAGATTTTAGTGGGGGAGGGGGGAGAGAGAAAGGAAGTTTTCTTCACTTTTTCGCCTTTCTCTTCGGGGATCCGAGAGCGATCAATTGAGGTTTCTGCGTAACGGACCAGCTAACCCTCCCTTGAGTCAACATTAACACTTACTTCCCACTTAGGGCAAAATTGTGAGTTAGGGAGGGGTAGGTAGTCAGTTACCGAGAAACCTTAATTGGTTATAAACACCTGATACTCAGTCTAAAAAGCTACATAATACAAATCTTCCGTTGATTATTCCATCCCTAACAAGTTACTTTATAAGTGGCACTCTTAAAAAACACATCGCCTTGTTTTCTAATGTATACGGTAATAATAAAATGTGCTTCGCAGAGAGATCTCCAAATCAAGATTCAGATAAAATGTCGTAAATTATAAGAAATATGCAGCATAACTGTTACGGGCAAAAAGGAATATCAGGAACTATTCTGGAACATCGGAATTAAGTTGAGTGTTTTCTTCTGTTGTAGCTAAAGTTGACCTGGACAATGAACTTGTGCGACACTTTCTTATCGAGACGACAAAGAGGGGAGTTAGATTAAAAGGGCTGAATGATGAACCCGTGTTTGGTAAGTCATACTACAGCTATACTTGTATTGTGTGGTCGCCTTTGGGGATTGGTCAACTAACTGCTTAAAAAAAGGTTAACCGTTTAACAGGGGTGACAAAATGTAAATTCTTTACACTTTACAATGCGATTTTCGAACGGTTTATTTCTTATAGTTTTGTGACATTCATTGTGTTTTCTTTCTGTTTGTTGCTTCAGGGAGTTTAGCAGCGTTCGTTTATCAACATTCCATCACGCCCCTTGCCTTACCCATCAGACTAACCATACCTTCGTGGGGTAAGTTAACAGTAACGAGGAGGATGTGTAGGCCATTTTAGTCGCTGCCATTTGTCGGCCGAGTTGGGAACAGTATATAAAGAAAACATTGCGAACATACAAAAACACAATGTAATATTTTCGGCGCGATCATTTGTAGCGTGTGCCGTGGGTGCCTAATTCCTGATACCGTGGAACCCCCCTATAACGAAGTGCTACGGTACCGAAATGAAAACATTGTTCGTTATAGCGGGGTAGTCTCTATTATTGGGTTAACAGAAAAAATATTCGTTATAGCAGGGTAATTTGATAATTAACAATTACCAAAAATTCAGTACTTCTTGTAGAAAACATTATTTTTATTCATTTGATGCTGTAAACTGTAAGTGTAAAGCGCTGACAATCACGACATCAAATTCAAAAACACTTTCAATTATAGCAAGCTGTGATTTCTACTCAAATCACTCGTTTTTGTTGACTGCTGCAAGCGACTTGACAAAATTTTCGTTACAGCAGGGTAAATTGTGCGTTGAAACCGTCAAAATCTATTCATTTTAGCGGGGATTTCGTTATAGCCGGGGTTCGTTTTCACATGTTTTACTGTAATTCTGCCGGGCTTTCAGATGTTTTTCGTTATAACGGGGTCTTCGTTATACCGGGGTGCCATTGTAGTTCGTCTCCTGTCTCGGGAGTTTAATCAGGCCGTGCGCACTAAAGTCAATTTTGATGTTCGTCAGAACGCATCCTGGTCTGGTGTCCCTGTGACACTAAGGCAGAGATTTTCGAGCTATCACAGGCGACTGCAAATTAGCCGCCTCTGTTAATTTTATCAGAGGCACCTCGGCCGGAAAGCTGGACTCCTTCCGACTCGATTTCGTTTCCGTAATTGACGAACGCGGATTCGTAATCAATGATTACCTCTAATCCCTAACATTGAATACATAGTCTAGAGAAAATTTAGTGAGAGTTAATAGAATGATCATCTGATGTGAAAAGCTTTGATGTACAAACAAATTCTCTTAACCAATTCTTTAAGGAAATGTATGTAGATCAGTCTGGAGAACTTGTATTTGGATATTGGAGCTTGCGCACGGGGTATTTCATCCTAGGTATTTCTAGAAAGGACCTCTGTAGCCAGGGTCCGTAGCGTGTTACTGCAAAGTGACCGCTATTTTTAAGCTATTGGGGACCGACGGTTCGCGCTGACAGATCTTATCGTGCAAATCACCCAGCTTCTGGGTGACCACGAGAGTACTGCAAACGCTCCTTTGGTCATCCCATATTTTCTCTCTGCTGTCCACTTGTTGGTGTATTTACATGTTTTGAGTTTGTTTATATTTCTTTTTATTTCCAGACCTCTCAGGAGAAGATAAAACCCAGTCTGCTGACACAGAGGACGGTCAGTCGTGGCCAAAGGGTGCAGGTATCTGTCGCCACGGTTGTGGTGTGAAACATTTTCATTTTAACGTCATCTCTGACTCTGTAGCAGTTTCTGTCTACTGATGTATGGTGCGTGTTGTTGGCTCGCTAATATATTGCACTATCCTCGCTGATTTTTCTGCAAATTACCTCACTTATGTCAAGGATTGCACTCTTTATCAAAAGTTTGCTTGCACTGATTTGTTCTGTTTCCTTTTTCGACTTACAGTTGGTTCGCTAATGTATCTGGGGCAGTGTGATGTTGAGATGCTAACAGGTGCAAGCGCTATACAACGCACCGTTGAACGCTTGTCAACAGAGGACGCTGCTAAGAAATTCACCACTGTAAGCTTCAAGGTTACACCTCAGGGAATGACAGTGACGGACAATGAACGAAAGTAAGATTGGCTTACCACTTCCTCACAATACCATCTCCTCAAACTTAATACCAGTGTTCGATTTGTTTTGTTCCATGAAATACCTCCTTTATTGACTACATACCATAGTATTACATGTGTTTGGTTCCTTATAATACCACCTACTTAAACTGCATACCATAATACACTTGGTGTCATAATAACTATATGCTGTATTCATCACAGATATCTTATTTTTCCTACAACATAACCCTTCCTGTATTTTTCTCAACAGAGTGTTCTTTAGACAGCATTTCCACATGAAGTCTATTCTTTACTGCGGCATAGACCCTAGCGACAAGAGGTATCATCAACTCTTTTTCTGAGAAGAAGTTCTTTGTAATGAGATTAAAGTTTCTTTAAGGGTTATCTTGGAATCTAACTTGTTTGTTTTTTCTTGTAGATGGGATTTGAAAACACCAACCTACTGCGGGAAATCAAAGTAAGTTGGTTCTACTGCGGTACTTAATTCCGGCAGTCTTCACATTACAATTACCAAGATTTTTTTTATCCTCTAGAATTAACAAACACAAACACCACCGCAATCCCTTACCTCTACCTTAATCTTACGTCCCCACGTGCCTGTTTTGCATTTTACTATTTAATCCTCAATCACGCTCCTCCAAATTGTAACCGTTCTGTTTTATTTTCATATTGCTAGATCATTTGGTCTCGTTTTACGAAAAACAGGAGGAGTACACAATGAATGCCATCTATTTGGAGAAATTTCCAAGGACTGGCCATCCAGTATCCTTGTTAATATACTAAACAGATCCATGACGTCATCAACGTAACGCAACGTCACGTCTCACAACAAATGTTCGGTACGGTAACGACATCTTCATAATAGCAGTACGTAAAGGTCGCGTTATCGTTATCAACTGATATATACATCTGGGAGCTCAGGTTGACGCCTCTGCGGTAATGAAGTAACAGAAAGGATTAAGCATAAAGCTACAGCAGTGAACAGATTTCCACTGGAAGGATTTCTTGCATATGAAAATTGAGCTTTTCAAAGGGATAAATTCTAACTTTCTCCAGGTCACGAATAGAAAACTGCAATGAACAGCCTGTTCATGTTGAGTAATGTCAAAGAAAAAGCTCCGTGGTTGAGGGTCGCGTTTGGGAAGCTGTGAATATTCAAGGGCAAGTTGTGTATACATCGACCTACATCTAACACGTGTATGAATAGAGAATTTTCGAGAGGAATTTGATATAATTTTATATGTAAACGTATATGGCGCAATATTCGCCACAATTAATCTCTTATTGGGAGAAACAATTTAGTCGTAAGATTGTCAAAGTAGAAATACTATAACAGAATACAGATATATATATTATGCCTTGTTTTTGAAATTGCATGATCGGTACTTGCGAAAAAAGAGTTGCTCTCATGACCAGGTCTCCCTTATCAAGAAGGATCGTAAGGACGGTAGAAGCACCTTAAGGAGTAGCCTCCGTCGTTGAAGGTTTCCACTTCATCGCTTCGGCATAGGAGGCTACTTTACGAGCTGAAGAGCGTCCTTGAGGATGGCACCTCTGGGATGACAATTTCATTTTGGATCGTTATACATAACTTGGAAACTCCCCACCTACCCCTCCCCTAAGCCAACATTAACACTTACTTCTCGCTTAGGGCAAAATGTTGGCATAAGGGAGGGGTAGGTGCGCAGTTACCCAGAAACGTATAATCCAGAATTTTAGAGATAAGATTACTTTGATACTAAAAAGGGTTTTGGTTCTGATTGAAGCCAACCTCAAAAACTGGTCGCCTGACAAAACGGCCGACAATTCCCGACGTAACCGTTGGTTTCCCCACGAAATGAAGTCTGAAGAAGTAGCTCAGAAATCCCATACTGATGACGTGTCACAATCCAGACCTGGGCACTGACACGTCATCAGTATGGAATTTCTGTAGTCGATCCTCGGACGTCATTTCGCGGGAAACCAGTGGTAGTGTCGTGAAATATCGACTGTTTTCTCACTCCCCAAAACATGGGAAGAGAGAGAAAAAGTAATTTTACCCATGAAAATTATCGTGGTTGGTCTAAAAAGTAGGGAAATAAATGAGGAAAATGTAATTAATTCTTTGCAACCAGTTATCACTATCACACAAAGAAAAGACATCAGATATTGAATTTTTATAAACATGTTTTTGAGAAGAGAAAATATTAAACGAATTAATATTTTTCAGTATTTTTTAGTTGCACTTAAAAGGGCCCGTTATAATCTTCCCCTTATCTCGTACCCAGATCTTCCACGGCCAGAGTGGGATCTGCGTACAAGATTAAAACTGACCCCACCGAGTTTTACGGGGTTGGACCAGACTGACTCTTGCTCACCACAAAACCTTAAGGTGGCTCGATACAGTTTTTCAGGGCCAATACCTCCCAAGTTTGAGCATTAACTACGTCGCCATAAACAAAGTTTTGGAAAAATTGCCACCACAGTTGTATTAGATAAAGATGAAAATTTGTTATGATCAGGGTTGCAACGGCATCGGAGTTGTCATAGCAACGAAATGACGCTATTACCTATTTTGCTTGCAGCAGTGTATCTCGGCACTGAGAACTGTTCTCCCAAAATCGTTCACGGGAGCTTTTTCCTCCAATAGCAGCCTCGATGTTCGTGAAGTTTAAGCGAAATCTGTAAGAGCGTTATCGAGATATTTTGGGATGAAGTTTTTACCGGGGCCTAGCCGAAGGCTGGCACCGGTCATAAAATGCAACGAGTTTCTGTGTTTTCAAAGTCACATTGTTAGGGATATATCGCTGACTGAGATATATCGCTGGCTCGTTACTTTTGGGAGTGTTCGCTGAGATGTATCGCTGGTTGAGAAATTTGAAGTAGGGAGCAACAACTGTAACCATGTAAATATTAATTCGATTAGTTTGCACACGGAATCGTTTAATGCGACTATATTTACCACTTATCAATAAATGAGATCCCTGTCTATTGCAAAATATTGTTACAGTATTCATCCTAGCGATGACAAAGCTTGGTCGACGAAGAACTGTGTACACTACGACAAAGCAAAAATCTTAACTTATTAAACTTGCATGCGCCAAGCTTTATTTATGCGT